GTGGGCTATGCCCACCAGCGGCTGGGACTGAACTCGGCACCTTGAGCTGAGCTGCCGCCCGCATGGCTCAGTGGATAGACCATGTGCTCTTAACAGCAAGGTTGCCGATTCGACTCCCACATGAAAAAATAAATAAAATAAGACAATAGTGGACTTTAAATTACATATATATGTAGTTACATACATATATATGTAATTTAATAGATGTTATATGTGACTTAAATTACATATATATTTACATATATACCTCATACATGTATTTTGTATAGATATACACTCACAATTATGTTTTTAAAATAAGCAGAAACAACAGAAGTAAATATATCAAATTGTTTATAGTAGTTATTGCTGGCAGGGGGTAGTTTTTCATATTCTTCTAATCTTCTGTGTTCCAACTTTCCTAGGAGAACCACATACATTTATAATGGAACTGAACTATATTTTCATAAAAAGAAGGACACAAATGAAATTCTAAGTTATGAAGAATGAAAATCATTAACTTTTTTTACATCTTTCAGAAATATAACATAAAAGAGGTTAAAATCATCCAGTTTTCTAATCTATGATATTTAATTGGTTGCAAAAGTAGACTTCTCAAAGAAGTTTGGTATCACAAATTATTTTTTAGGCCATGAATCTTGAGAATTTAAAATAAAGTATGATAAAAATTAAAGAAAAATTGCTGTGTTTGGGTATTATATGTGTTGTGCATGCATGTATGTGTGTGTGTATTTTGTCCAGCAACATACAAATATTAAAAATTTGGCTACTGTCACTGCCTTATTCACAGAATAAAAGGATTACCAAATTATAAAATACAATATACATGCTGATAGTCCTGGTTGGAACACAATTTACTTTTTTATACATTAAATAAACATTTATTGAGAACTACTATATACGAGTATGTTTTATCTTAAATGCCTAAATAAATCTTTGTTTAACACCAAAAAGGGGGAAAGGGAGGTGAGAAACTGCCAATTCAGAATAATAATTCATTCTGGTTGTTTATCTCTAAGCCATTAGAAATGATATTCATTGAATTCTTTCCACATTATCATAAAAACACTTTTTACCTGCCAGTAACAAACTGCAGGAGAAGAACTCTCTCCTCTGGTGTAATATCTTCCACAACTTCCCAGAACCACTAACAACAACAAAAAAACTTAGTTCATAATTCAGAGTAATTGTAGACTTAATACCAGAGAAATATGCAGCATTCATAAAGCATATTTTATTCTAAGAAACTCATTTATCAAAAATGATTTCATACAAAGCTTTCATATGCAATTCCCATGAGGAGAATTTAGGGTAAAACTTTACTTTGTTAATTAATGTAGGTTTTCATCCAATAGTGCCGAAAAGCTTACAAAATTAAATGGCAAAACTTAACTTCATTCTAAGCTCTAGAGAAATTTTACCTGAATAACTGGATCTTCTCTTTCATAGCCACTTGTGTATTCTGTATTTTTTATCCAATCACTCACATCAATTTCTGGCATGCCAGAAAGCAGCAGCTCCTTTGGGGAAGAAGAAAAATATTTCATTAATCTTCTTTGGGAGGGAAAAAACCTATTACATTTAAATAGTAAATTTGCCATAATTAGAAACTAATTCCATGTAAAACTGATTTATTTTTCTGACAGCTTCTACATGTCATCAATAACAAGTACTGCATGGAAGAGAACCCTTGATACTGAGAATCTCAAATACTGTGAGATATGGAGATGTCTCTACATTGATACAAGTTAATTAAAACATAAAAGACAATAATTATGTTTCTATATAAATGCATATGCAACAACAGTTAAAATGTGCAACAATTTTATGAACATTATTATCTTTAGCTTATATTTTATAAACTTGTTAAATTCTGTAGAGACCATACTTTCAATATGAAAGTGATAACAAAGACCTCAACAAATCCTGGGTTAAGCAAAGGAAAAGATCATCAAGAAACCCTAATCATTGGGGGGGGGGGGGGNTATACATATATATACAATATATATATACACACACATATATACACATGTATCTATATATACATATATATGAATAATAAAATGGTAATAACTACATATCTATTAACAATTACTTTAAATGTAAATGAATTAAATGCTCCAATAAAAGACAGGGTGGGTAAATGGATAAGAAAACAAGACCTTACATATGCTGCCTACGGCAGACTCACTTCAGAGTGAAACACACACACAGGCTGAAAATAAAGGGATAGAAAAAGCTATTTCATGAAAATGGAAACAATTAAAAAAAGCTGGGATAGCAATACTTATAACAGACAAAATAGACTTTAAATCAAATGATATAACAAGAGACAAAGAAGGAACCAGTAATCTCACTTCTGGGTATTTATCCAAAGAAACCCAAAACACTTCTTTGAAGTGACATGTGCATCCATATGTTCACTGCAGCATTATTTACTACATATGGAGTCAACCTTGGTGTCCATCAACGGATGAATGGATAAAGAAGAGGTGGTACATATTTACAATGGAGTATTATTCTGCCATAAACAAAGATTGAAATCTTGCCATCTTCAACAACATAGACGGACCTAGAGGGTACTGTACTGAGTGGAGTTAAGTCAGACAGAGAAAGACAAATGCCATATCATTTCATTTATATCTAGAATCTAAACAAAATAAACAAAACACAAAAAGAACTCCTACAGAGAATATTTTAATGGCTTCCAGGTGGGAGAGGGGTTGGAGAGGTAGATGAAGAGGGGGAAGGCATTAAGATGTGCAAGTTGTCAGTTATAAATACAGTTGTGGAGGTATAAGGTACAGCATAGGGAATATTGTCAATAATATTATAAAAACTATGTATGCTGTCAGATGGGTACTAGGCTTATTGAGGTGATCACTTCATTAGTTAAATAAATGGCTAATCACTATGTTGTACACCTGAAGCTAATATAATATAGTATGTCAACTGTAATTCAAAAATAAAAAAATTATTAAAAAAAAGAACACCTAAAGTTGAATTTTTGAAAATGACAGAATGCATAAAAAAAATTAGGCAATTCACATCACACAAAAAATTATATAACAAGTTATATGAAAATAAAAATGATTATATCTTGTATTGATAGAATAAAAGGAATAAACCCTCTTACTCCCTGCTGATATTTTTCTGAAGGGTAAATGAACAATATGTACCAAGGTTGTAAAATGTATATACTTCTGTATCCAAATTTCTTTTATAAGAATTTATCCTATATAAATAATATAGGATATTGGCCTGCAAATATACAAACACAAGAATTCCTTATTTGTTCAGCATTATTCATAAACAGAAAAATTTAGCAAAAAAGGACAATATCAATTAAAGAAGTCCATAAAATGAAGAATAGGCAGGCAGTCATTTAAAAAATTAGATCTACAAATGGAACAATTTTTAATAAACCAGGAATGTTTTTAAAAAGTAAAAAATTATATATATAAGAAATATTCTAGAACAATAACCAAGATGTTAACAGTGATTATCTTCAGTGATTGAGATTAACAGTGATTTTAAAAAAATCTGTATTGTCTAACCTTCCTACATAGGAAACAGAATTTTTATTTATTTTTATTAAAGTACTCAAATTATTTTTATTACTCATATTTCTTGCCACAAAGAAGTCAAAAAACCCCGCAACTCTAATCTACAATCCGTGAATATTGATATTTTATTTATTCTTTAAAAGGAGATGTATGGTGTGACTCCAACTATTTTTCTAATTATAT